TAAACGTTGAAAAAAAAAAATTTTTTTTAAATAAAAAAAATAAACATTAAAAAAAATTTTTTTAAAGGTTCTCTCTCTCCCTCTGCCCCTCCCTTGTGTTTCTCAAAAAAAAAAAGGTTAAAGGAAAAAAAACAACTACTGTATGTACATACAACGTTCACAACATTAATCATATGATGCTATAAGATCCAATACTGACAGTACGAGAAATTAGACTCTGTGAATGGATCTTGCAACTGTAACTACTAAAATGCACAAGCAACCATAGAAAAATTAGATACACTGGACTTCATCAAAAATTTAAAAAATTTTTTTTGCTGCAAAGGACAACATGACAAAAGCAGAAAGACAACACACAAAATAAGACAAAAAAAATCTGCAAATCTGATCAGGAACTCGTACGTATACAGCACTCTCTCTCTCTCTCTATATATATATATTGGGGCACCTGGGTGGCTCAGTCGGTTAAGTGCCGACTCTTTATTTCAGCTTAGGCCATGATCTCAAGGGTTCGTGAGATTGAGCCCCACGTCAGACTGTGCTGACAGTGCAAAGCCTGCTTCGGATTCTCTCTCACTTTCTCTCTCTGCCCTCTCCTACTTGCTCTCTCTCAAAAATAAACATTAAAAAAAATAAAATATATAAAGAACTCTTACAACTCAATAATAAAAAGACAAGTGATCCAATTTAAACATGGGCAAAGTATCTGAACAAACATTGCTCCCTGAAAGATACACAAATAGCCAATATCACATGAAAAGATGCTCCACATCACTGGCCACTAAGGAAATGCAAATCAAAACATGAAGAAATACCACTTCATACCCACCAGGGGGCTATCATCAAAAATAGCAAGTGCTGGCCATTGTATACCATAAGCTTATACAATGTTAATGCGTCAGTTTTATCTCAATAATGCTGATGGGGAGAAAAGAGCTGTACATGTAGGAAATTCTGAGAACAGTATTACTTAAGGACTGGATGTGACAGCTCTTCTAGGATACAATTAGAGAAGTGTCTATAAACACCTGTAACAGGGCGCCTGGGTGGCTCGGTAGGTTAAACGTCCAAACTCTTGGTCTCAGCTCAGGTCACAATCTGATGCCCAGCCAAAAACTGGTATATGAATGTTTACAGAAGCATTATTTATATTAACAGAAAGTGAAACAACTCAAATATCCATTAACTGATTAACAGAATGTGGTCGAGCCACAGAATGGGATATCACCCAGCAATAACAGGAGAAACACTCATACACACTTCAATATGGATGAAACTTGAAAACATGCTGAATGAAAGTCAGTCACAAAAGATTTACACGTTGTAGGACTCCATTACATGAAATCCAGCATAGACAATTCTACAGAGACAGAAGGTTTGTGGTTGTCCAGGGGTCAGGGGCAGGAGGGTGAGGAATAGGGAATGCCTGCATAATGCGCACACGGTTGTTTTGGGTTTTTTTTGTGGGGGGGGGGGGGGG